TAGAGCAGTGCTTAGTATAACCTACTCACAGTTACCAGAAGGATTCTTACTTCTATTTATTATTAAAGAATTATGCTAAAAAACTTTGCATATTAAACCCTGTTGTTTTTCAATCACAAGAAATTGTTAACAAAGCATCCAAAGCATCCAAAACCAATATGTTCCTCTGCGAGATGGAGGCATAGCCAAAAGATAAAAGAAGCTCCATTCAACATGGTTCATACTTTACAATACCACAATAATCACCTCAAGAATTTGCTCAGTCAAAAGAATAAACCTTTGGGCTACATCAGGTGAAACTACAATTGCTTGGACTCAAAAGTTTGTAGACAACATCTAAAAAGTATCAGCAGCTCACTGAACAAGAGCAAAGACGCAAAGCTCCAACTACAAGATTCAACAAATATTACTACTAAACAGTAACTATCCATAACGATTGTTTTATTCAGCGCTTTGGGACGTCCTCCCGATGTGAAAGTATAAATGTAATTTTGTTGTTGTGGTTGTTGTTTATTGTGTCCTTTATAAGCAGCAGTACATTTACCACCAACATGATTTATTTCAAAGGAACCCAGTTCCCCAAACCTAACAACACAAAAAATAGTAATTCACATCTCTTGATTACCATGGAACATCTTTTAACTGGCACGGCTCTTCCACCAAATCAATAAAACAACCCTGGCCCACATGATTTAATTAATATCAGATACACTCAATTCCTGGGTGATGGCGACCTCCCATACAATCTGTGTGGCCAGCATAGGGGAGTCCCGAAGCGTAGTGGTTAGTGCGGTCACCTCGCAACGAGATGATCTGGGGCTGATTCCTGGACGGGGCAAAACCTTAGGCAAGTTTCCTTACTGCACACACCTCTGTTTACCTAGCTGTAAGTAGGAACCTGGTTGTTAGTTGATTGGAGCATCAATTTTTGGGGGAATAATCCCTCAGAAAAAAATTGGGTCACTCAATCCACGATTGTTTGTGTGCAATTGGCTGCCACATTTTGTCCACAAAATACAGTCAATCCACTATACAATATATTCTGACTGTCCAGCGCCTTGGGTCATCCCCCCGACGTGAGAGGTGCTTTGCAAAGGCAATTTTGTATTGTAATTTTGTATTGTGTATTCTGTGAATCCCTTTGAGACGTGTCAATGACATGATACAGTGCAATATCAAATTCAAGAATTATTATTATATTTCTCTAATGGTGAAAAAAAGACCTTGTTTTTCATATAATATCAGCTGGGCCAATATAAAAGTGTGGAAATATTTGCTAAAAATTGCGGGGAGATTTACAAAATTGAGCAGGGAATTGCGGGTGAGCTTGCCAAATTTTATGAAAAATTGCGGGGAGTTGATTGGTGCTATTGAAGTACATTTTACTGCCATCCTATATTTTTTCACCTTATTAATAAAAGCTAAACATAAGGAAATAACACATATTAGATTGTTTAAAAAAAAAATTAATTGCTTCTCTAACATAAACTGGGTGGCCCTTTTTTTCGTGGTGACGGTGGGGGGGAAGTGTGGACACCAGCGAGGCGACAGGAGCTCACCACCTCCTGCCTCTCAGGGCCGGCACCACACACAGACCCAGAGACCCAATACGAGACACACACACTCACATACACAGAGAGAGATACACACTCTCAGAGACACACATTCTCAGAGATATACACACACACACAGACACACTCACAAACACACACAGAGAGGAGAGACACTCACACAGACACTCACACACATGGAGAGAGACACTCACACAGACACTCACAAACACATGGAAAGAGACACTCACGCAGACACTCACACACATGGAGAGAGCCACTCACACAGACACTCACAAACACAACAGCAGTGGTTCAGAGCAAAGCCCATTTGCCACTTGCGCCACACAGCGCACGGGCGTCGCAAGCCGCTCAGCCTACAATGACGTCAGGTAACCAGCGAGCGGCCCGGGGGCTAGAAACTTCACTTATAGCGGATTTGTAGCGGAGGTTGATGTTTGTGCTGGATTCCATGGAGAAAGTGCGATTGTACTTTTCAATGGCCCAGGTTATCAGTTATGAACTCAATTGGTAGCTCAGCCCAATTCTGGGGCTCTTCAGTCCAATTTGGTTTTGCTTCAACTATCAAATCCTTTCACTGATGCCTGTGAATGATTCCTTAAGACACTCAGCACAGGGATGGCACTTGAGAGGATAGAGTGGAACGCTTTATTTCCATTCTAAAGAAACTGAATTTTGGAGACCCTTTCATCAATGAATCAAAGTACTCTGTAATGGCTCCAAGTTCTCAGGATCCCTGGGTTCCTCTGCTACTTCCATTACTAGTACAATTTCTAATTCAGACTATTAAGAACAATCTAGACATATTAAGGATGTCACATTTGTTTGTCACCAAGAATAGCAATTTATACACAGAGGCAAATGACACATTATCTTTTTATGTAGCCTGTGAACCTCCGCTACATTGCCCGTCTCCGACAATACCTCACCACAAAAGCTGCCGAAACCCTTGTCCGTGCCTTTGTCAACTCTCAGCTGGACTACTCTAACGCCCTCCAGTCTCCCCTCCTCCACGATTCACAAAATTCAGGTCATTCAAAACTCCACTGCCCGCATTCTCACCCATACCAAACTCCACACCCAATTACTCCAGTTCTTGCAAAACTCCACTGGCTCCTTGTTACAGAGCGGATCGACTTCAAGATCCTCACTCTAAATCCCTCCTTTCCTTGTACCCCCATATCTTTCTAACCGCCTCTGGAGCTCTTTAACACTGCCGCGGAGCACTATTGTGACTAACTACCTCCACATGTCTCCCTTATGAACCATATCCTCCCCACACCAGAAGGAATAATCTAACTGCGCACCACATACTTCTACAACAACAAAGGCTTGCATTTATATAGTGCCCCTCACACGTGGTAGCATCCCAGAGCACTTTTACTTCTATCAACACTTATATAACGTCCTCCACACAGAGTAGTGCTCAGGGCGCTTAACAGTGGCGGAGCCTGCCTCAGAGCCGGTGAGGGGGAGGTGGCTATAAGCATGGTCGAACAGGAAGGTCTTCAGGCAGGACTTGAAAAAGGGGAGAGAGGGAGCAAGGCGAAGGGATTGAGAGAGAGTGTTCCGGAGTTTCGAAGCGTAGTGGCTGACAGCATGACCTCTGATGGTTGGGCGGAGAGTGTGAGGGACGAGCAGGAGGCTAGTCTTTGGGACGTCCTCCCGACGTGAAAGGCGCTATATCAAATGCAAGGATTATTATTATTATTATTAGTCAAGCAGAGGCGCCTGGTGGTGGATTGGGGAGTGAGGAAGTCAGAGAGGTAGGGAGGTGCCAGAGAGTGAAGGGTTTCAACACAAGTGTGAGGATCTTGAAGTCAATCCATTCGGTGATGGGAAGCCTGGCTGGAACTGGTGAGATGTGGTTACGGAGTTTAGTCCAGATAAGTATGCAGACGTCAGAGTTCTGAATGAGCTGGATCTTTAGTGGAGCTGAGGAGTCTGTTTGAGTAATCCAAGTGGGAGGTGACAAAACTATCTTTAACTATCCTTACTGTAGTTAAAGCAATACATTTAACAGTAGTGAGAAAGCAGTCGTTTTTAGTTTAGATGTCTGAACCACGCTCCAATAATAACCTGGAGTTAATCTAAAAATACAACTGATTGAGCAATTTGGAATCTTAATACTCTATTACTTCCATTTTAATTTCTTGACTATTCAGATTTGTTGGTCAAAAATCAATTATATACAATGATTAGGTTAGCAAACAGACAATACTATTGTATACTATTGTGTACAACTGAAAAAACTTATCCATGTTTTTAATGTTAGCGAATAAATGAAATAAAGATTGATATAAAATGCCACTATATAAAATTGGGCATTTACTTCATGGCTGTCTGTGGGACATTGCGGTGCGCAAATTGGCTGTTACGTTTACAATACAGATACAGAGTTACTACACTTCACAGCAAATTCTATTGCTTTGAAGCAACATGATAAGGCTCTATATTAAATGCACAAGTTAATTATTATATGTAGCAGCTATTAATTGGGACCCTTGGTGGTTTGATTCTTATTGACTGTATTGAATGAATTTAATCTTATTCAATAAACTTTGCAAAATTAGAATAACACATGTATCTATTTGTTTCTGCATTAATTTTTTCACAGCAGCTAAATACTTGCATGACAATACCTGCTTTTAATTGAAAATGAAGGAATATTTTAACAGCATTCCTCTCTTTGACGTCCCAGATTCCACCCAGTTTTAGTCAGTAAATTCAGAATTGCAGAAAATTCTTAAAATTCATTCTTAATTTTGAAGCCAGTTCTTTTTAAATACTATGGAAAATTGGCTTCCAAATTAAGGCTAGATTTAAAGATTTTTTGTAATTCTGCGCGATCTGTAATTCTAAGACGAAAAGATTTTACAGGTTAAGACTTGGTGGGATTTGGGGCTTTTAGTTTGGTAAAGTCAATCATCCATTGGTGGGGGGAGAGGCGGAAGAAGTTATTTTATTTGTGCAGTGAATGGTGCTAACCAAAACATGGGAATAAAAAGCCTCAAGACAGACTGACTAAATACAAACTTACTGCACAACATCATCAAATGCAGTACAGGCACATGCACCTCATTAATCACACTACCATAAATTATGTAAAAGTACATTTCAAAACATATCTCAGGCGGGAGGGGGGAAAAGAACTGAGGCATCAAGAAACAAATTGTTCACTTCAATGAATTATTGACCAGAATACAGCTGTAATCCTGCTGCATGACACAGACATGATTACTTATAAATAGGTGATTCTGATAGATCTAGTCCAGAAGAGTATGAAAGAATACCAAGTACACACTACTTGTAGCAACTGTCAGTTACAGTCAATGTTTCTGAACTCTCAAAATACACATCTAATGTCTTGTCTTTTAAATTTGCAAACTACTGGTTATGTACACAGAAATTACCGGCAAGTCCACATACCTCCATTTTCCTCTCCATTACTATTGTTTGTTTCAGCCATTTCACAGCTGTCTAAATCTGATTCACCGTCCAAGTCAATGACCCCGTCTGCTGACATTACCAATTCATCTTTCTGTAGATAACAAAAACAGTTAAGTCAATGGTCACAGATCCTTTCTTACAAAGGAAATGTGTTTTATAAAATGGCACAACAGCTATTTTCCATTTAAACAGACGGCAGCTTGCCAACCTTACCTTGGTATTACATAGTTCTACATCTTGTTGAGACGAGCCATGCTCTGCATACAAAACATATGGGAGACTTTTGCCCCTTGTACACTGATGAATAATGCTTTACACTGAACTACTGAACTGAAAGCCCAATTCCTTAACCTCATAACTAGAGTCTGCCTTCCAGCTTTAATTCCAGTCAGTGACATCAGTGCCCAGACTCCTGAAGAGAAATACAAATCCTTCCATATTACTGACTGTGTCCATATCTTGAATCTGAATGGTTTTAACGATTGCAAGGATAATAATACACAAGAACAATTAGAACAGCCTAGGTCTTGGATCAAAGGTGCCCTTTGCAGCATATTACAATGAGATTTATCCATGACAAAAATGTTTCACCTGCATAACATTTTTGCTGTTTGTGTTAAATAGTTTATAACTTATTTAAGTAAGAATCTGGTCATCCTGGAAGGATCAGTGCACGGTTTGAGTGCTGCTATCAGCCTGCTATCCTCAACTTCTCAGTAAAGGGTGCAGTCATCGATATTACATTAAATCCTAAACTATTCTTTGAGCAGCTCTCTCCCTATTTCGAATCCTTTATAGCTTTCAAAAATGGCTGACCAGTCTTGCACAGTAGCAGTTAATTCCCCATTGCTGCTAATGTGCTTGGGTGACTGATTGGTAGACAGCCATCACGTGTTCGAACATCACATAGGGGTATCCTCAATCACCTGCCTCAGTTGTGTATAAATGCAAAGAGTTCAACAAATCAAAGCACTGTATTTTCAAACACTACTAAAAAATTAAAAGACGAATTAAGCAGTAATGCAAATACAGCATGGAATTGAGCTTGCAATTGATTTTGAAGGGTTGCCTGCAGCATTATTGCTAAAGCAGTTTTTTTTATACAAAAAAAGATTATTGCCTCAGTTAACCACTGAGCCAAACTGGATCAGATGAGTGAAATTCCCATCGCAATGAGAAGCAATAGAAAGTATTTGATCTCCTTAATGGTAAACATAACCAAAATCATTACACTATTTTCTCCTACATTCAAACATTTATATGGATATGTGCCTTTACCCTATCAAACAGTCTTTTATGAAAAAGGATATAGGTCAACACGTTTCCTATTTCTTCACAACGATAAAGAAATGTGTTTTACTGAAACTGGTTTCAAAAGTAATTATATGTTTACTTACTTTAAGAGCATAAAGACCCATCTTTCCTGGGATTCGACAGAAGGCTCCATCTTCCACACGAGCATTTGTATGGAGCATAGCATTAAGGCAGGCCAGAGGAGATGTTCCGCTGATTTGAGACAGATGCATAAATAAATGTGTGAGCACTTCCCACATGATATTCACTTTCAACTTGGACTTTGTGCAAATTCCTCCAACCCTGACCAGCATCTGCATTACAATAGTGGATTCAGAGAGCAAAATTTAATCTTGAGCATTCGTAAAGTAAGGTTTCAGCCATAGCAAAACAAAAAAAAATTACCTTTCAGGTTTTCAATCTAAAATTTTGCACGTGCATTGGAAAACTTAAAAGATAACTCCAAAACCTCACTCAAAAAACACACAGGCAATAATCTAAGAAACCACTGTGATCTAAAATGCCACAATGATCAAAGAAAGGGAAGGTTCAAGGGTATCAGGATTCAATGAAATGAAAAAAAATGCATTAGACTGACTTGGAAGTGGGGGCTGGGAAAAGCTATAATCTCTACCCCTCACCAACCCTCCACCCCACCCCGCCAGTCTTTTATTATGAAGTTGTCTATACTGATTTTAAATGTGATATAAACTTCTTGCTTTTATGTTCAGCCTGGTTTGTCTCAAAGACAATAATCCTTGCATTTTGCCCACAAATATACAGTCAATTCACTCTACAGTCTATTCTGTGAAGCGTTTTGAGATGTCTAGAAGACGTGAAATGATATCAAATGCAAGGATTATTATCCTGAAGCTCAGTGGTTAGAGTAATAATAATAATAATAATCCTTGCATTTGATATAGCGCTTTTCACGTCAGGAGGACGTCCCAAAGCGCTTCACAGAACACACTGTAAAGTGAATTGACTGTATATTTGTGGGCGAACGCGGCAGCCAATTGCGCACAGCAATGTCCCACAAACAGTCATAGATTGAAAATGACCAATTTAATTATTGTTTTTAGTTTTGGAGGGATTATTATTAGGCGTGTGGAGTAAGGAAACTTGCCCAAGGTTTCGCCCTGCCTGGAATTGAACTCAGGTCTCTCACTTGCAAAGCGAGTGCTCTAACCACTGAGCTACAGTACTCGCCTCACAAGCAAGAGACCTGGGTTCGATTCCCTGCAGGGTGAAACCTTGGGCAAGTTTCCTTACTCCACACACCTAATAATAAACCCTCAAGAAAAAAAAACAATAATAAATTGGTCACTTCAATCCACGACTGTTTGTGGGACACTGCTGTGCTCAATTGGCTGCCGCGTTTCGTCCACAAATATACAGTCAATTCATTTTACAATATATTCTATGAAGCGCTTTGAGACGTCTAGAAACGTGAAAAGCGTTATATCAAATGCAAGGATTATTATTATTATTGCATTTGATATTGCATGTTCGTGTTCATATGTAATTATGTGAAGTATATCTGTGAAGCGTAACGACTGTATATTTGCAACAGCCATTTTGCACACAGCAAGGTCCCACAAACCGTTTTGAACACCAATTTATCTGTTAGATTGTTTGCCTGGCACCAGAGAAACACCCCNTTTTTTTTCAAATAGTGCAACATGGAAACCCAAGGGCTGGCCGAGACAGGCAAGGATGTGCCACCCCCCTAGACAATCCAGCAGCCTGTCAGAAAAGGAGGGAAAGAGAGAAAGAAAACCAGACAAGTCATGTTGATAGGGGATTCAGCTATTCGGTTTACAGACAGAATTCTGTGCAAACTGGACCCAGAAAATCAAATGGTAAGTTGCCTCCCAGGCACACGAGTTGAGGATCTGATGTCCCACGTTGACAAAATGCTAGAGTGACCAGGTGAGGAACCAATCGTGGTTGTCCATATGGGAAGAAATAACCTAGATAGAAGTAGACCAGAAGTCCTACATGCTAAATTCAGGGCACGAGGAAGGAAGCTAAAGGGAAAGATCTCAAGTGTAGTTTTTTCAGAAATACTCCCCATACCATGTACTAGTGAGGGGAGACACAGGGTAACAAAACAACTCAAGAGGAAAAAAAAGGCATTTAAGGCCATGTAGGAAAATGGCACAGAGGAAAGACGGACTCATTACCAGAAGGCATGCCAGGATCGTAAAAAAGGTATCAGAATGGCTAAGAAACAGTTTGAACTGATCGTGATAAGAAATGTGAAGGATAACAATAAAAAAGATTTCAGTTACATTCAAAGGAAAAGGACTTGTGTGGAGTCCTGTAGCTCAGTGGTTAGAGCACTCGCTTTGCAAGTGAGAGACCTGAGTTCAATTCCAGGCAGGGCGAAACCTTGGGCAAGTTTCCTTACTCCACACGCCTAATAATAATCCCTCCAAAAAAACAAAACAATAATAAATTGGTCATTTTCAATCTACGACTGTTTGTGGGACATTGCTGTGCGCAATTGGCTGCCGCGTTCGCCCACAAATATACAGTCAATTCACTTTACAGTGTGTTCTGTGAAGCGCTTTGGGACGTCCTCCTGACGTGAAAAGCGCTATATCAAATGCAAGGATTATTATTATTATTATTATTATTATTATTAAAAGAAAAACGAGGGATGGAATAGGGCCGTTGAAGGTGGGATCAGGTGAGGATATGACAAATGATGCTGCACAAGCTGCAGAAGTACTAAATAAGTTTTTTTGCCTCAGTTTTTAGTAAATAGATGGGAAATTTATTGAATCTGGAAAGAGAACTCAGTGGTGTTGCAGAGGCACATTGTGACACTATACATATCATTACCACCATGGTTGCTGAACAACTATGCAAACTTAAGGTAAATAAATCCTAATGGCCAGATAAATTGCATCCAAGGATCCTTAAGGAACTAAGGGAAGAAATTGGAGGAACTCTGGATACTGGAGAGGTGCCTGGGGACAGCAGAAACGCAGATGGTACTCTTAGTACAGACTAGGGAGTTTGATTTCCATTGTGGGTGAAGTTTTAGAGAGTCTTATTACAAATAAGATCATGGAGCATCTGGGCAGTATTAAAATGATAAAAGATAACCATTATAACAAGTTCTACATTTTTTCAACCTGCTAATCCTTGGTTTAATGTGTTCTATTTCACCAAATGTGCTGCAAAAATATCAAATCTGTATATTTATTTTGTGAATATTTATAATAATCATTGCATTTGACATAACTCCTTATCGTTTTGAGACATCTCGAAGATGTGATGAGGCGCTATATCAAATGCAAGAATTATTATTAATATCATGTCATCAAAATACCTCAAAGACCTTCACAGGATGTACAGGAAAAAGTGACCATGTGTTTTCTAGGCAAACCTGACAGCCAATTGGCACACAGCAACATCTGACAAACAGCATGAAGACAGCCCACTTATGTCTCTGAAGCAGGAGGGCTACCAACAAAGCCAGAGTGACACCTAACAGTAACAAAATGGATGAACTATAACAGATTCTAAAGCAAACGTAACAATTTTTTTGAGCATTGTGTTCTAATTGTTGATCAGCAGTACTGTATCACTAATTAATAACAACAACAAATTAAATTTGTTCAGTGTGTTTCACGTCAGGAGGCCGTCACAAGATGCTGGCGTTAGGGATCCATACCCGAGCTGGTGTTTGGGATCAAGAGGGGTGGACGGCAGGGAGGGTAGGCGTAGGAGGGTGACAGAAGGCACGATCGAAAAGGAAGGGCTTGAAATGGATCTTGAAGGAGGCAAGGGAGGAGCGAGGCGGAGGGACTGTGGGATGGAGTTCCCAGAGAGGCTGAAGGCCTGCCCACCAATGGTGGGGCGGGCAAGACTTGGGACGTGAAGCAGGGCAGAGCCCGCTGAGCAGAGGGAGCAGACAGATTGGGAAGGGTTAGGAGGTTACAGAGGTACGGATGAGCGAAGCAGTGAAGAGCTCTGAAGGTGAGAACCAGGATCTTAAACTGTATCCCCTGTGTGATGGGGAGCCAGTGGAGTTGGGCAACAATGAGGGTGATAGGATCATGGAGCCTGGTGGGAAGAGGATGGGCTGCAGTGTTCTGGGTGATCTGCAGTCTGTGAAGGGAGGAGTTGGGGAGGCCAACAAGCAGGGAGTTTGAGGAGTCGAGCCTAGATGTCACAAATGCGTGGATGAGGGGCTCATTGGCCTGTGGTGAAAGACAGTGATGGAGCCAGGCAATGTTGCAGAAGTGGGGAAAAGCGGAGCGGGTCATGACACAGATATGGGGGATGAAGGACAGTTGAGGGTCCAACAGGATGCTGAGGTTCCGTATTGGCTACATGAGATGTAGTGTGTGCATCCATGAAGGGTGATGCTGTCAGCGCGAGAGGTATGGAGGTAATGACAACAGCGGGAGGGGGGGGGCTCTTCAGGGGGGCCTCAATCAGGGGGGCCTCAGACTTGTTGATATTCAACTGGAGAAAGTTAACTTGATGTCTGACAGGCAGTTTGTGAGTCCAGCAGTGGTCCTGGAGTCGAGAGAGAGAGAGTTAGAGTTGGGTGTCATCCTCATACATGTGGAAGTTAATCCCATGTCTGTGGATGATGTTACCAAGGGGGAGCATGTATATGTTGAAAAGGAGAGGACCAAGGACAGAGCCCTGAGGGACGCCACACTTGATGGTGCGGGGGTTGGAGGAGAAAGCCGTTTGTGGAGACAAAGTAGAGATGGTGGGAGAGGTAGGATTTGAATCAGGCAAGGACAGGTCTGTGAAGTTTGAGCTGAGAGGAGAGGCGGTGAAGGAGGATAGAATGGTTGATTGTGTTGAAGGCAGCAGAGAGATTGAGGAGGACAAGGAGGCAGAGTGAGCCTTGGTCGCCCTGGACAGAATGTCGTTCGTGACTTTGACCAGGGTTTTTTCCGTTCTGTGTGCAGCACGGCAACTCGATTGGAGGTTGTTTGTAGAGGGAATGGCGGAAGAGGAAAGAGCAAAGCTGGGAAGTGACGACACATTAGTGAGAAGGTAACTGAACGGGTCCTAACTTTCTACAGATCTATGTTGTGAATGGTGAACACATAACAGGGAGCTGTGATGGAAGAATTCAGCATCAACGAACAGCCTGACTAATTGCAGACACAGCACCTTCAAGTCACTGGTTGGTTTTCCCATTACACCACCACCCATTGTTTCCAAAACTGTTTGCAAGAGGGAAGGAGAAAGTGTCTTTGTAAGTTTGGAATGGAAAGGTGAGAGTGATACAAGGCTACCTGACTTTAAAATCAGATGATGGATTCTACAAATGCTCACATTTATGACTTTGTGGCTGGATGAAAGAGACAAGAGACTGAATCATACAGGATTGGGGAGTGATGGAATCAACAACTGCTTTATATTAGTGATACATTCTTATGTTAGTATATAAAATACTGATTGGGATAGAGAAAATAAAGTCAGGCCAATACTTTCAGATAAGCCAAGGCAGCAGCCAGGACAAGATAGCATTGGTTCAGGGTTTTGAAGGGCAATTTTAGCACAAACCTGAGGAAGTATTACTTCACACAGAGGCTTTCAGCGCTCCGGGACGCTACCCCACGTGAAAGGCGCTATATAAATGCAAGATGTTGTAGTCGTTGTCAATGGGTGGAACAGGTTACTGGGAAGAGTGGAAGAGGTCAGGACACTGGTCTCATTTAAGAAACAACATGTTATCGTAATAGGAAAATTGTACTGTTTGAATTCTTGAAAGAATTATATCAATTGGGCTGAAGTTATTCATTCATCCAGCCAGGAGCAACAGTTCTCCCCACAGCTTTAAAAGGGGTTCAATTAAAATTTAAAAACACTGGAAATTTACCAAGATGAAAATGAATGCAATGCAGATAATATCCGGGGGGTCTCGGGTGTTCTAGGATCCTGGGTGATTAACACTTCAACCAATAGTCCAGTGAGAGTTCAACTATGTGTAAGGACTGATTCTTTCAGTCAATAGCTGAGAGTTCAGGCTGTGTTGAAAACTTCCAAACGTTTGAAAGTGAAGCAGCTTCATAGCCTGGGGGAGAAGCTAGAGTTCTCATTACATGTTGATGAGAATACAGGTCATATAAGTGTTATATGCTCGGGTCCAAAGCATGCCAAACTTTCAAAGTTTAGACACTATCAAATATAATTTAGATGTTGATTTTTTCAAAACAAATACAGAAGTTCTACAAACATCAAATATTTTTCTGTAACATGACTGTTTTGGGGATTTGGAATTGATTTGCGATACTGTAGGTCTGTACTTGAAAGAAACTAGGAATTGAAGGAGTGTTCCTGCATATAGAAGGGAGTAATGGGAAAGAAATCTCTAACATAATTCAACACGGTAACATCTTCTGTTGCATCTGGTACAAGTACAATCAAGACGTGACTTAACATGTTAATGGAAATTGGATCAAATACTGAGATGACAAATTACTTTACTTCCAGGAAATAAGGAAATAAGGTTTCTCCAGGCACACCTGGCTGCACTGTTGATTTCCAGCATATTCTCTTTCAGAAGGAATCCGCAAGATTATAAACCAGAATAGATTTTCAGAAGTCTTGATAAACCAAGTCTTCCTACCGAGGTGACATTTATAACTTTTTTTGCTGTTAGCGTGAATTCCTGTTTTTAAATATTGCAGGGTGGAGTGGGGGGTGATATTAATGTGTCTGTAACTGGTTGTGTAGTGTACTAGCTGTAACTGTGTGACTGGTAACGTATAGATTCATCATTTCAATTCCTTAAACCTCCTACCACTCTGACCTGCTGACTCCCTACCAACCTGCTCGTTCCCTTTGTTCAGCGGGCTCCGGCCTGCTCTATGTCTCCCGCCTGACCCGCCCTACCATCGGTGGCCGGGCTTTCAGCCTCTCTGCCCCCACACTCTGGAAGTCCATCCCACAGTCCCTTTGCCTCGCTTCCTCCCCTGCCTCCTTCAAGGCCGATCTCAAGACCCTTCTCTTCTTTGGTCTCCCTCCCACCTCACCGCCTTCCCTCACCCCTACACCACCCCTCCCCCATGCTCGGGCCCCGACACCTGACTGTTCAGAGCTTTGGGACGTCCTCCTGACATGAAAGGCGCTCTATAAATGTAATTTTGTTGTTTTTGTTGTAAACAAGAGCAGGAGTCCTTAACCATTGGGAAAGAGGAAAGAAGGGGAAAGCTTTGTTCAAACTTGGAGAGAGAAATACTTGTTCTCCCAAAATGCAAGTGCAAACCTATACCACTCTTTAGTGGCTGTCTCGTAAGAACCATCAGACACTTGAGCCTTTATTGTCTGCCTAATATCTTGATCAAGAGGAATAAAAGACCAAAAAATTAATCATTACTATACAGTGCCCTTATTGCCTTTTACAATACAGTAAAAATTATGTTAATAAATACTCACCTTCTAATCCATGTTACCAGGAGATGAGGGGGAATCCAGAATGATGAAGCAGAAAAAAAAGAAAATAATGAATCCCACAGAATGTACAGCATAAGCAATTTAGATACAATAAATAATCATTGATTTGGTATGGTGACTTTCAGGTCAGAAGGAAGTTCCAAAGCGCTTCACAGAATGTATTGTAAAGTGCAGTGACTGTATGTTTTATGGGCGAACGTGTAAGCCAATTTTGCGCACAACAATGTCCCACAAACAGCCATGAAGTAAATGACCAATTTTACTTGGGGGATGGATTGTTGTCCAGGACACTGACGGAAGCTCCCTTCTCTTTTTCAACAGTGCAATAGAATTTTTATTGTCCACCTGAACAGATAGTGCCGTAATCAATGTCTCATCTGAAGGACGGCACCTCTGACAATGCAGCACACCACCAGTACTGCATTGTCATGCCAGCTTAGACAATATGAGTTTCAAGTTACAACGTGGGGCTTGAAACCACAACCTTCTGACTCAGAGAAGAGAACACTACCAACTGAGCCAGACCGACACACTACACTACATACATAGAATACAAATATTTATGTAAGAGAAAATTTCTGTTAATATAAATGTAAAATTGTTGTTGTTTTCACACATTGTTAGCTTCAGCAAATTTTGTATTCAGTGCTTACTGAAGAAAATCCTATTCCCATTATATGTGAAACACAAAACAAATCACTACAGTTAGCAAACAGCTCCTTATAATTGCATATGCCTAGCTCTTTTTCTCTCTTCCCCTTCTCTATGGTTCTTTCATGTTGCTGCCTCTTAGGAGTCTTTCTCTTACTTTTCAACACGCCTCCCCCATCCCCCCCTCCCCATCCAAACTCTACTTTGCTGAACATCAGCCACTTCATACTGAGCTCGAAACAAAATTGGGCAAATAGTTTTTTCAAAAGAAAAAACAAAAGTGCATGAAAATGTATGGCTACAAAAATAAATCATACTGGGTGGGAAAAATGGATATGCACTTAAACCTTCAAATCAAGACAGAGAAGTGAAGTCCGTCATGTGATAACTCAAATTGTTTTACCGCATATTTTAATAGATTAGGGGATCTGGAGGAAATAAACTGGGGACAAATTCAAAACAGAAGCCGGATTCATCTTTGACCCAAAGAATATCCACCTGGGTCTAGACCTAATCTATTAATGTAACAATTTCCAATGCCCCAAATTTGACAAACTGTTGAATTTATTCTCAACTTGGAAGTTAACTTTCTCCAGTTCTTCCAAAAAAAAGGAAAATTAAGGTTGTATTTAAGAATTTTCCAAATTCTGGAAATGCTAAGATGCCACATTAATAGAGTAAATTTAGACCTGGGTGGAATTTCTCCCCAGAAGAGAGTAATAATTGATAGAAAAATCAATGGACCATATGCTTGCCAAGGATAAAGAAAGACATTTTATAGGAGCCAGAAAGTTGTCAGCAGTCAGTAAAATACAACAACAAGATTACATTTGTATAGCGCCTTTCACGTCGGGAGGACCTCCCAAGGTGCTGGACAGTGTACAGCATTTCAGACCCGAGCTGGGGTCAAGGGGGAGAAGGGAGGGGAGAGGGGTGACCGATGGCATGGTCGAAGAGGAGGGTTTTGAGGCGGGACTTGAAGACAGCTAAGGAGGGGGTGAGGCGGAGTGATTGGGGGATGGAATTCCAGCAGTTGGGGGCAGAGTGGCTGAAGACTCTCATGGTGTCCCATAGTGTAGTGGTTGGGGCACTCGCCACCCACATTTAGGCAGGTTTTCTTACTCCACACCATTCTGTTTACCTAGCAGTAAGTAGGAACCCGGTTGTTGGAATCTGCTCCCTGGAACTCTCTCTCAAAGTGACTTTGCTTTGCTTCTTCTGTCTTCAATACCCTCTTGCTGCCTTCAATACCCTCTTTAAAAACTTCTGACCATACCTTTGGTCAACACCCTTAAATTCTATTTATTCTCATTCCTACCTATCATCTATCTGAAGAGCTTTGAGGCATTTACCCCGCTAGAAATGTGCTGTGTAAGTGCAACTTGTTGAAATCTACAACCTCCCCCTCTTCTCCCCTTCCAAAAGTTCATAAGTTCAGTCGGTTATAAATGTAACATTATTACCTACTAACCTCATTTCTTTCAAGCCTTCTTTCTGAATGACTTGCAATATCTGTTTTGGTGTCATTGGTGCGTTGGGATGTTTTTCCAGTACCTGAAGTAGAACAAACAAATTAGTATTAGGTAAAGAACACAAAATACAGTCAATCCACTTTGCAGTATATCTTGAGCTCTGAGATGCTCAATGACATGAAAGACACTATATCAAATGCAAGGATTATTAATATTAATATTAAGAAACAAAGATTAACACAGCAGATTAACATTATCAAAGGCATTTCAAATCGTATTATATTCACAGTTTACTTTCAGCCTGTCGTCGAAGCATTTTGATGGCAAAATATTAAAACTCAAAATTGTTACTCTTCAAAAGACATGTTAACAATGTGCAGAACACATACAATAATGCAACAATCCTAACAGAACAGATGATGCAACAAGGAGCTATAAAGGGCTTCAAAAATAAACTAGATACATTCCTAGAAATTAAAAGGCTTCAGGGTTATTATGATTATGGATTATTATTATTATTATTATGTGGTAAGACAGATGTGTTGAAGGAATAGTTTAGGAAGTTGGACGGGTAGGAAAGATGGACTCGTGCCTGTAGCTGTTACTATCCCTAAGGGAACACCACTATTAGGCTAACAAGCACATTTGAAGATAGGAATCCTTCTACCATGTTTAAGAGGTAAAAGTTTGTAAATCAGAAACATTTAATGTCCTTTGCATGATAATTGCCAGTCAACAATTGTCAGTCAACAATGGTGTCGGTCTCTTTCAATGAGAAACAGTACTGACATTGCACTCAAGGTCGCTGTGGTCTGGTCTGTGGATTTGTTAGCAAAGTCCAAAAATAGTCAAAATTCAATTACTGTACCCTTCTCACGTCAGCAGCAACTGTGGCGAGAAGAGAACAAAGCTGAGCTCCTCAGTCACCCATGACACCCAGGGGATTGGGCAGCAGAATGCTGGGTAAGAACAAAACTCTGATGGGGAGCACTGATGCAATCAAGTCTCAAAGCTTTGACAGCAAAGCTGTAAGAGGACTGTCTCTGCTAGCGATTCCACAGTTTTGTTACATTACAGTGCATCTTTCTGCAATGCCACAAGGTGGGGCAGTCAAAGCATCATCTCGCCTCTAAATCAAAAGGCTGTGAAGCAATGAACATCCCAATATTGCATTTGTTAATCTGTCTCCACCCTTTAAAGAACTGTGGACACTGTTTCGAAAGAGAGCAATAAGTTTTTTTGTCACAATAGTGTTAAGCGTAATGTGCTATGTGGGACATGGCTATACGTTAATTGTCCTCCCCATGTTGCCTTCAAAATATACAATCCCTATATCTTACTGTAATCATGTGCTTTGAAATGTCCTCCTAACGCGAACAGGGCTATATCAAATGCAAAGATTATTATTATAAAATCAACAGATAAACTATAGAAATTTATGACACAGAAGAAGACCATTCAGCTTATTGAGATCACTGAAAGAATAAGGGAATGGTCAAGTAATTATAGTTTCAACAACAACAACTTGCATTAGTATAACCCCTTTCGCGTCAGGACGACGTCCAAAGGCTCTTGACAGTCGAGCTGTAGGGTCGATTCGGGAGGGGTGGGAGGATTCAGGAGAAGGTTTTCTGTTATGAAATTTAAGAACATAAGAATTAGGAGTAGGCCATTCGGCCCCTCGAGCCTGCCCTGCCATTTGATAAGACCATGGCTGATCTTCAGACCTAACTCTAATTACCTGCCCTATCCCCCTAATCCCTCTATTTTTTAAAAATCTATCAGTCTCAGCCTTGAAGATGTTCAAGGACTGAGCATCTACAGCCTTCACCCTCTGAGTGAAGAAATGTTTCCTCAATTCTGTTATAAAAGGCTGACCCTTAATTTTAAGACTGTGACCCCTGGTTATAGATTCTCCACCAGGAGAAACAGACTCTCGGTGTCTACTTTATCCAGCCCTTTAAGAATCTTATATGTTTCAATAAGATCTCCCCTAATTCTTCTGTACTCTAGAGAATATAGCCCTAGTGTATTCAGCCTATCCTCATAGGTCAGTCCCCTCATCCCAGGAACTAACCGAGTGAATCTACGCTGCACCCCCTCTAGGGCAAGTATGTCCTTTTTTAAATAAGGAGACCAAAACTGCACACAATACTCCAGGTGCGGTCTCACCAAGGCCCTATACAGTTGCAGCAAGACTTCCCTACTCTTGTACTCTAAACCTTTTGCAATGAACGCTAACATGCCGTTCGCCTTCTTAGTTGCTTGCTGCACCTGCAAACTAACTTTTTGAGACTGATGTACAAGGACACCCAAATCCCTCTGAACACTAATCTCTCCCCCTCTAGAAAATAATCTGTTTTTCTATTTTTTCTACTTAGGTGAATAACTTCACACTTCCCCACATTAAATTCCATCTGCCACCTATTCGCCCACTCCCCTAGCCTATCTATATCCCATTGCAATCTTTTTGCATCATCCTCAGAGCTTACTCTCCCACCTAGTTTAGTGTCATCCGCGAATTTAGATACGTTACATTCAATGTCCTCGTCTAGATCATTGATGTAAATTGTAAATAGCTGAGGCCCAAGCACTGATCCTTGTGGCACTCCACTAGTCACATCCTGCCAATTCGAGAATGACCCGTTTATCCCTACTCTCTGTTTTCTACCCGTTAGCCACTCTTCAATCCATGCTAATATGTTCCCATTAATCCTGTGGGCCTTAACCTTGTGCAATAGCCTTTTGTGTGGCACTTTGTCAAATGCCTTTTTAAAATCTAAATATACTACATCTACTGGTTCCCCCCTATCTAACCTGCTAGATACATCTTCAAAAAACTCTAAAAGATTAGTTAAGCATGACTTCCCTTTTGTAAAGCCATGTTGACTCTGCCTAATCTTGTTATGGTCTTCCAGGAATCCCATAACGACATCTTTAATTAAGGACTCAAGAATTTTCCCTACCACTGATGTCAGACTAACTGGTCTATAGTTCCCCATCTTTTCTCTCCCACCCTTCTTAAATAGTGGTGTTACGTTTGCAATCTTCCAATCAATGGGAACCGTTCCAGAATCCAGAGAATTTTGGAAGATCAAAGACAAGCCATCCACTATCTCAGTAGCCACCTCTTTTAAAACCCTAGGATGTAGGCCATCAGGTCCAGGAGATTTATCAGTTTTAAGACCTGACAATTTACCTAAAACCATTTCTTTACTAATATTAATTCCCCAAGTTGCTCGCTAACATTATCTTCTTGGTTCCCCTCTATTCTTGGTAGGTTTTCAGTGTCTTCTAAGGTGAAGACAGTAGCAAAGTACTTGTTTAATGACTCTGCCATGTCTTTGTCCCCTACTATAATTCCTCCCGTCTCTGCCTGTAGCAGACCCACATTTACCTTTGACAGCCTCTCCCTCTTTATATATTTATAAAAACTCTTGCAGTCTGTCTTTATGTTCCTCGCTAGTTTGCCCTCATATTCCATTTTCTCCCACTTAATCACTTTTTTGGTTCTCCTTTGTTGATCCCTAAAGTTCTCCCAATCCTTGGGTTTACTACTCATCTCAGCTGTTTTATAGGCTTCTTCCTTTAACTTTATACTTTCCCTAACTGCTCTAGTTAGCCACGGTTGGGCCACTTTTCAGGCCACCTTTCATAAAAATTCATGAAATAATTTTTCAATACGTTTTGTAGAAAGACAACAGAAGGGTTAACTCAGAACTGCCAGCTGTACCATTAAACCACATCGCACCACAAAGCAGAGGAGGCAGGTTTGATACACCGCTGTGCTCAGTTCCTGATTTGAGCTGCTCTGGGCAGCCTTGGGGGTTGAGTCCACATGGTCTCCCAGACGGGGGAAGGGGCATAGTTGGGAGAATGCTGGCACCCCATCACCATCAGAGGACTAATATTGGAAAACAGTCTGTGCTCTTGAAAGCAGAAGCACAGATAGAAAATGAGGCTGTTCGTGCTTCATCTCTGGGTAAGCAAATCATCATCAACAACAACATAGTTTGCAATACGATAACATGGTGGTAAATGCATAATACTTTTGGTTCATCTGACTCGGCACTAAATAGTCTGAACAAGAACACAGAGTCCAGAGTTGGATTCAATATTTAAACCTGAAAGGGGAGGATATCAATTGTCAGGAGCTGGGGAAGATAGCAAATATTGCCTGGTTGGTGTTGTTGGAGATGAAATTTCTCAACTACAATATAATATACAATATAACATTGGAGAGGATGGCAGCACACATCCTTGACTGGACCACAAGACAGCTTTGCTTTATCGAAATGACCGTGCCTCTAAATTTATAAAATTCAGCTATTTAGATATTAGACAAAGCATTTATGGAATTTGACAGGAGACTGCTGTATCTACGCAAGACCAGATAAGGAGTTTTCTAATGCAGGAAGGCATGAGATTCTTTTTAAAATAGAAAAAGATGTGAAAGGATTTTACAATAAAATTCTCTATAAACATATTAACCCCGGAGAAGTCGAAGGATGACTCCTTTTTATATAGAATGTGGATACTATTTCGTGATTTGGCAAATTAGTTCAGGGACCGTAAGATAGTATTAGTAAAATGGTGTGAATATTTGGCTGAAAGCTCAACTATTTGATGTGTCAATAAAATGCAGATATTCACATTAAAGTGTTTTAATATGCACTGGCTAGCAATGTTTTTTTACGCCCTCCAAGATTCTTGTGGCACAGAAAGCATTGGGCTGTGCTGCTGGATTCAAGCAGACTCACTCCTTATTCAAAAGCGCAATTTGTACACAGATATGGAGCTTTCATGCTTCATTGCATGCAGACGAATAGCTGATCTAACACAGTAATCAGAATCCCATTCAAGCTGTGCTGCTGCTGCTGAATGTTCAAAGACCAACGTCAGTTGTGCCATAGAGAGAGAGTACCAAACAGAAGCTGAGCGCTTCTTTACAGCTAAGGGTTGGTGAATCATCTTAACTATGTCACTGGCAGGCTGTTGGGCAGCATTAGGGTAGACCTAGCAGCAGGTCAGCTGCTTGATTCATAATGGCCAAGGTCGTTGTTTGCCATAAGGAGACTAAGA